TGTGCTAATTTACTGCCCATATGTCTTTTTTAGTGAAGCATTTGCAAATCTTTTGCCTATTTTTAAATTAGGTTCTTTATTTTCCTATTGTTGAGTTTGGAGGGTTCTTTATTCTGGATTAAACCCTCTGTGGGATATGTAGTTTGCAAGTATTTTCTCCCAGCCTTAGCTACTCTGCCTTCTTTCACGAAATTTTGATGGAGTCCAGTTTACCCAACTTCCTGTTTCTGTTCCTGACCTCCCTGCCTTTGCCCCGGGAGCACCACACTGCCCTGAGTACTTAGCTCCATGCAAGTCTGGACGGCCCCCACCTTCCTTGGGTCTCCTTTTCAAAGTCCTTTCGATTATCCAATTCCTTTGCCATTCCATATAAACTTAAAAACCAGCTTATTGATATCTACAAAAGCGTCGTGCTGGGATTTCTGGGAACTAAACTTAGATCTGGTCTGGGGAGCGCTAATGCCCATGCGGCGGCTCATCTCTCCCAACTGCTCAACCCTTTGCTGGCTCCTTCCACTCGCTTGCAGATCCTGCACTGATCTTGTTAAATTTAGGTATTTTCTTTGTTTTGGAGTTACTGTAAATGGAAGTTTTTTTTAAAAAACTGACTTTGGGATGCCTGGTGGCTCAGTCGGTTAAGTGGCTGCCTTCAGCTCTGGTCATGATCCCAGGGTCCTGGGATCAAGTCCCACATCGGGCTCCTTGCTCAGCAGGGAGCCTGCTTTTCCCTCTGCCTCTGCCGCTCCCCCTGCTTGTGCTCTGCCTCTCTCTCTGACAAATAATTAGATAAAATCTTTAAAAAACAAAAAACTGACTTCTAATCATTCATTGCTAGTGTGTACAAATGGAACCACTTTTTATGTCGAATTTGTATCATATGATCTTGCTAAGCTCTTAGTTCTGGGGGCTTGCTTTCACATTTGTCCACATTCCTTGGGGTATTCTGCATAAACTGTTGTGTTGTCTGCAAAGAAGAGCTGCATTTTTTCCTTTCCAGTCCTTGTGCCTTTTATTTCCTTTTCTTGCCTTATTGCACAGGGCAAACCTTTAGTTCTGTGCCATGCTGCAGGGGTGTGTGGGTGCGGCTCAGCCTCCTGGTCTCTGGCCGGGGGAGGGGGGTTTCCATCCTGCCACCAGCGTGACATTGGCCATTCAGGATGTTCTCCTCTGTCCCTGGTTCACCAAGAATTTTAATCACAAATGCAACTGAATTTTGTCAAGTTTTTAAAAATCATTTGAGGAGTTTTTATGATTTTTCTAATTTAGCCTGTTGATGACGTGAATTTCACTGATTGATTTCAAATGTTGACCAGCCTGGAACAAACCCCACTTGGTCACGGTGTATTAGTCATTCCTTTTTACATATGATGAATTCAGTTTGCTGATATTTTATTGAAGATCTTTACATTTATGTTCATAGAGGGATATTGGTCTGTAGATTTCCTTTATGTACATTGTTCTCTGGTGTTGGTACCAGGGTGATTCCTGACCTCATAAAATGAGTTGGGAAGTATTCCACCCTTTTCTGTTTTCTGGAAGATATTATGTAGAATTAGTGTTGTTTCATCCTTTGATATCTGGCTAAATCTACCTGGAGCTTTCTTTTTCAGAAGGTTTTAAACTATTCAATTTCTTTGATAGATTAGGCTGTTCAGATGATCTGTTCATCCTGGTGCTTCTGGTGGTTGTGGCTGGGGCATTGTTACATGTTGATATGTATTGTTACATTGTATCCAACTCCCAGCCTGATGTGTGGCCCCTGTCTGCAGCTTCCCCTTCTGTGTGACCTGTGTGATTTTCCTTCTTTCATTCCTGATATGGCTCATTTTGTCCTCTCTTCTTTTTTTCTTTGTTGGGCTAGAGGTTTTATCAGTTTTACTGCTCTCCCCAAAGAACCAGTTTTGGGGTTTTTAAAATACTTTATTTTATATTTTCTTTCTCTGTTGTTTTTCTATCTTCCGTTTCATGGTTTCTGTTTTTGTCTTTGTTGCTCCCTTGCTCCACTCACTTTGGGTTCAGTTTGCTCCTTTCCTGGTGTCTTGAGGTGAAGCTCAGGCTGTGCACTTGAGGCCTTTCTTTCTTGTATGAGTGCATCTCCCATGGGGCTCGAATCCACACAAAATATTTCTGGATCCTTGGAGTTTTCTTCCTGGGCCCGGGTGCTGCTTACTGCCCCGAGTGGTTGGTGTTTCTGGCCTTCTGTCTACTATTGATTTCTTTTTGTTTGTTTGTTTTAAGTAGGCTGCACACCCGACGTGGGGCTCGAACTCATGACCCCAAGATCAAGAGTCACGTGCTGAGAGAGCCAGCCAGGCGCCTCTCTACCATTGATTTCTAGCTGAGTCTATCGTGGTCAGAGAACATACTTTACACAACTTCAGTTGTTTTTTTTTTTTAAGATTTTATTTATTAGAGAGAGAAAGCACAAGCAGGGGGAGGGGTAGAGGCAGAGGGAGAAGGAGGCTCCCCGCTGAGCAGGGAGCCCGATGCGGGACTCGAGCCCAGGACCCTGGGATCATGACCTGAGCCGAAGGCAGACGCTCAATGACTGAGCCACCCAGGCACCCCATGACTTCAGTTCTTTCAAGTGTGCTGGTGCTCCTTTGTGGCCGGGACATGGTTGGTCCCGGTGGATGCTAGCCCCTAGAACCCACGTCTTTTTCCATTTTCTTCCCTTCACAGTTTGTTTCCTGCAGAGGCAGTGGCCTGATGGGCAGAGTGAGCTGGCCTTCCCCTGGGCTCCTGCATGTCAGGGGCTGTCAGGAGCAATCCCATTTGCCCCCAGCCTGGAGCTGTCCTGCTGCCCGAGTCAGGGGCCCTGCTGCCTGGGGAAGCCCTGGTGTCTGTCTCCTGGCTCGTCTGGGCTCAGTCGAGTGCATATGCTGCCGCCATCATCCTCCATGTGCCCCAAGTGCCGCACTGTGACAGGCTGGCCATAGGCCCAGGATGGGAGTCGGAGCTTTGTGCCGGTCTTAGTTTATAAAGGTGACTGAGTGACGGTGCAGAGAGGTCAGTGCCGTTGAGAGGAGAGTTTAATGTTCACTGCCCCCTAGAAACAGGAGGCACCGTACATGGGGCCATGGGGAAGCACCAGGGTCACTCAGGAGGCAGAGGGACTGCGGGCGAGGCCCAGACCACAGCCTTTACTGGGGTTTCCGTGGGAAAGGTGCAGCATGGCAGGGCAAATGGCTTAGGATTGGCTAGTTGGAGTCATTCCGGTGGACCTTGAGGCACAAGGTCCCAGGGGCTGCCCCTAGTTGCGGCTTCCTGGGCCTGGGTGTGTAGGGCAGGGTGATATTAGGTTGGTGCTGAGGGTTGGATAAGGAGGGGTTCAGAGTATGGGCTCTGGATCCAGGGGAAATGTAAACAGTTCTGGCTGTCAGTTGGCCCTATAATTAATGGATGTCAAATAGACAAATACAGAATCTAATAAAACACAAAACAGTAGGGTCTTCATTTCATGCCCAGAATGGCAATGGGGTCTCTGCTCCATGCCGAGGATGGTAGTGGGGTCTCCATACAAAGCCCAGGATGGTGGTGGGTGTCTCTGCTCCATGCCCAGGACGGTGGTGGGGTCTCCATACGAAGCCCAGGACGGTGGTGGGGTCTCCATACGAAGCCCAGGATGGTGGTGGGGTCTCCATACGAAGCCCAGGATGGTGGTGGGTGTCGCTGCTCCATGGGTGGCTGGCAGGTGCTCACAGAGCCTGTGAAACTTTCCAAAGCCACACTGTCGACCAGACCCGGGCCCTATATCCAGACCTGAGCTCCCCAGCCTCACCCTGTCACTCCCTGCTGCCTGGATGTAGAAATGTGAGTTGAGGGGGCCTGGGGTCTTCCTTCTGGCACCCATGTCCCCATGCTTCCTCTGAGGCAGACAGAGGAGTGTGGAGTCTCTGTGGTCAGGAAATGGGCCACTTCTGCTGTCCCCACCACATCAGCATCTGTCCTGCTGCTTGGGGTGTAGGTGGGCATGGAGAGTGTGGAGTTCCCAAGTAGGACCTGTGTGACTCCAACACAGGTGTTTGGCGACTTGGTCTTGGCGCTTGAGGCTGTGTGGGCAGCGGATAGTGGTGTGCTTACCCCCATGTGGACCAGCGCTGTTCCCGTGAACTGCGGGCTGACATCTGAGCGGGAAAATAAGCCAGGGCTTCAAGGAACTGCAGAGGGGTCCCAGTTGATTTTGGTGTTGCACCCCCCTACACAACACCCTGAGCGCCTCTGCCTGGGATCCTTGGTGGGGTGGTTCTGCTGCCTCCGGGAAGGTAAAGCTTCGTGCGGCTAAGCGGTCCTGCAGGCCAGGATTGCAAGGCAGGCCCAGCAGGAGGGGGAGGTTCCCCACTGGAGGACCAGGACCGGAGGACCAGAGGACCATGGGGGACACAGGACCCCTTCCCCAGGCAGGGCCCACATGCCCCGCCTCCGCCCCACACTGAGTGGTGAACCCAGTGTGAGGGTCAGGGAAAGCTCACCGTGGGCTCAGGGTCATGGGCACTGGGGGAGTGGGCGTGTGCAGAGGGGCCACCAGAGGTGGTGGTGGTGTCTCCAGGGGCCCTGCAGAGGTGGGGGGCAGGGCAGGTGGGGGCGGGCCTGAGACCCCACACTGGTGTGGGGCCAGGGTGGAGGTGAGGGGGTGGGGCCTGGGGGGTCCTGCAGAGGCCTGTGCTCTGGAAGCTGGGAGTAGGGCTCAGTGACTGGCAGCTGGTCCCTGGGGGCTCCTGGTCTGAGTGCCCTTGTCCAGACTGCCTGCCCACAGACCCGAACTGAGCTTCCCCCACAGGTGGGAGACCCACCCTCTGGGGCCCTCTGGAGCAAAGGGATGCTGAGTGGCATCCACCACCCACAGGGACTCCTGAGGGGCCCCTGAGCCTAGCTGAGGGCCCCCAGGAGATGTGAGGGCCTTGTCTGAGGCTGGTGCTCCCGAGGGTGGGGCCTTCCTAGGGCTCGAGGCGGTGTGGGAAGGTGTGGTTGAAGGCTGAGCAGGCCTTTGCCCTTTGCAGGTTGTGCAGCCTGACCTTGAAGAAGCTGGTGGTCTTCAAGGAGCTGGAGAAGGAGCTCATCTCGGTGGTGATTGCCGTCAAGATGCAGGTGAGGGTCCCCTCGGCTGCTCTCCCAGGGCAGTGAGTGCAGGGTGCCCGTGCCTGCCTAGGGGTGCGAGTGGGCACAGCTACACCAACCGCTGGACCCTTACCTGTGCAGGGGGCCAGGGAGCCTGGTTCTGCCCCAGGATGCAGGGGAGCCTCTGCCTGGGCTGGTTGACCTGGAAGATGGTCCTAAAGCTCGGGCAGGATTGGATCCCCCCAGCACACCCAGGGCGCAGTCCTGTCCCCCATGAAGGGCAGACAGCCCAGTGTTCGGAATGTGGGGAGAAGGGAGTGTGTGCAGGTCACTTGCAGATGGGCCTGTGCAGAGCAGAACTGTGGTGCAGACCCTCCCTGCCCCCACCACGTGCACCCAGTGCACCCTTCTCCGCCGGCCCCTGACCCAGACCCAGCGCTGGCCCAGCCGTGCTCACGTCTCCTCCCATACGCTCCCTGGCCTTGCAGGTTCCTGCCTTGGAACAAATAGCAGTATTTCAGGAGGGCCCCCCCCCCCCCGCCAAGGGAGACAACAGCCCCTCCCTCCCCCAGGGCACCGGCTCCTCCACGTGTGGCTGGGTCCTTGCGATGGCCCCCACAGTGGAGCCGTGGGAGGTGTCGGTGCCTGGCCTACCAGCACCCCAGACGATGCATCAGCTGAGGTCTTGCTCCACCCTCAGCTCCAGGCTCTGGAGCCCACGTTTATGGGCCGCAGGGGTGGCAGGGGCCCGGCCTGGGGCTCCCCGGGCAGGCTCACCAGGGCTCGCTGGCTTGTGCATCTCCGGGCGATCAAGCCAGGCTCTCTCCAGGCTGAGAGCTCAGGTCCGAGTTCAAGGAGGCCTGAGGCCCGTCTTTAGTCTCCCCGTCAGTTGCCACCATCTTTTAAGTAAAGATCTGGAGAAACTCTTCCCCCTGAAGATGCTGCTGTAACTTATCATCAAAGCCAGGCGTGCGCAGCTGCGAGCCAGTGCCACAGGGACGTGCCCACGGGGGACCAGCCTTTCCCGAGGCCTGGGCTGTGCCCTGGGCCTCCAGGCATGGAGGGCTCAGGGGAGAGCCTCACGGGAGGGCTTCAGAGCAAGGTGGAGCCCACCCATCCCTGAGCCCTGAATCTGCCACTGTTGACCTCTTACACGGCCACCTCCCACCCCTGGCCCATTCCTGGAGCCCTGCCCCAGACCCCACCATCTCCGAGACTCAGGCTCTGGGACCCACGTCACCTTTCCAGATGACCCGGGTGCCCCCTTCACTGGCTGCCCGCCCCCTGTCCCCCCACAAGCTCAGCATCCACCCAGGTGCCTGGCCCATCCTGCAGGCCCTCCCTGGGCGTCGCCCTCTGTTTGGGTCAGTTGCCGCCCACCTGCTGTGCCCCTGCATGGGGGGGGGGCAGGGCAAGTCTGGAGGAGTCAGTACCCCGCTGGGCCGTCTCCCTCTGCCCGTCCTCCCCGAGACACGAGACACAAGATGCTCCTGTGTCCTCAGCAGCCCCTCCGCTGAGCTGAGGCCCTGCGTCTTAGCTCCCAAAGGGAGCAGACCTGCTGGCCTTCCCCACCAGCCCCGGCCTGCTCGCCTGTGCTCGCTGCCCTCCTTCACCCAGCAGAGGCCGGTCCGCTCAGGTCCCCTGAGGGATCTGGTGCGGAAGAGGCCTGGGGGCCACGGCCAGACCCCGCACAGGGTGCCATGTGGCCCAGAGGGTGTCCACCGGGCGGTGTCTCAGGATGCCCGAGTGGAGCCAGCCCCGCACCTGTGCCCAGGACCCCTGCCCGTCGCTCCGGTCAGCCCGCACGTCTGTGCTCTCTGTCCTGGACCCGCACCCCGCTCCTGCCCTCAGCCGCTCCTCTGCACCCTCATCTTGTCGGATGCCTCCGGAGCCCCCAGCCCCCGCACCCTGGTGGCCACTGGTCTTTGTGCCTCTGAGTCCGACGGCTGTCGGTGCCCTGCTCGCAGGGGGCCACATGGTGTCCGTCTCGTGGCTTCCTGCCCCCAGCCTTCAGTCTCTGCTCCGTGCATGTGGGGGCAGCCATTTTTAAAACAGTACTATGAGGAAATCTTTAATCCATTTGGGATTTATTTTGAGATAGGATTTGAGGTGAGGATCTGGACGTTTTATACGAATGATTTGTTACTTATTATTTAGAGAGTAATTTTTCCTGGTGACGTGAAGGCTCATTATCATGCGGCACGTTTGTCTTTTATACACGTCTGTGTGTTCTCAGATGTGTTTCTCGACTTCGCATCTCTGTCCCTGACACAGAGTGGCTATGCTGTACCTGTTACACCCTTGTACCACATTTTGCTTTCTGGGGAGGCCGTCACCCCTCACTGGTCCACTTTTTCAGAAATGCTTAGCATCTAGCACACCGGTTCTTCCAGGCATTGCCCTGTGACCCCCCTGCACCCCAGCATTGTCCTGTGACCCCCCTGCACCCCAGCATTGCCCTGTGACCCCCAGCATTGTCCTGTGACCCCCCCGCACCCTGGCATTGTCCTGTGACACCCCAGCATTGTCCCGTGACCCCCCTGCACCCCAGCATTGCCCTGTGACCCCCAGCATTTTCCCGTGACCCCCTGCACCCCAGCATTGCCCTGTGACCCCCAGCATTGTCCCGTGACCCCCTGCACCCCAGCATTGCCCTGTGACCCCAAGCATTGTCCTGTGACACTCCGCACCCTGGCATTGTCCCGTGACACCCCAGCATTGTCCCGTGACCCCCACATCCCACTGCTGCATTTTTGACAGTTACATTAAATGTGGCAGTGAGTAATCTGCATCATCTAAGGGAGAACTTAGAGGGTGACAGGGTGGGGACATTTTTAAGGCTCTTGACAAATCTCCCCAAGGGTGCGTTTGGGAATCCCATGAGCTTATGCCTCCCACTGCCTGATCTATGGCTCTTCACCGTGAGAGTTTGAGGGGAGTGGGTTTCACTGTGAGATGCCTCCTTGTGAATGAGCAGCCGTTTTGTTCTGTCCCAGGGCTCCAAACGGATCCTGCGGTCCCATGAGATTGTGCTGCCCCCCAGTGGACAAGTGGAGACCGACCTGGCGCTGACCTTCTCTCTGCAGGTGGGCCCGGCACGCGGGCAGGGGGCAGCGGCCCACCTTGCAGGGATGTTCTCCCTCAGTGCGCTGTCCTAAATGTTAGAAGACGTGCATGCTTTATTAGATCGCATTTTCCCTCCCAGTCCTGTGCTAAAGAACGTAGTGAGGCCCAAGCTCACTCTCAGAAGGTCATTTTGGGGATGCCTGGCTGGCTCAGTCAGGAGAACGTGTAACTCTTGATCTCGGGGTGGTGAGTTCGAGCCCCACATGGGGTGTAGAGATTACTTAAATAAGTAAATAAATAAACAAACAAACCTAAGGAAAAAGGCCATTTGGTTCCAGTATTCAGAGAAGATGGGGGGGAACAGGGGACCTCAGTTTTGTAAGTTCTGATCCCTTGGAAATACGTTAGGTGCCCCCTGCTTGCCCCCCAGGGTGAAGCAGAACCTCCCCCCCCACAGACCCTCCAGAGCCCAGGGCTGTGGGTGGGAGCAGGCCGGCCCCAACCCTCAGGGTGCTCCTCTGCTCCTCTTTGCACAGTTGTTTAAGGTGGGCGCTGTGTAGATTCGCAGATGTGCTAACACACTGGGCTTAGCGTCGGCCCGTCGCAAACCGGTTCAAATCTCGTCTCCCTGTGAGGACCCCACCTCCCACCCCCCCGCTTCTCCCTGCCCCGGCCTGGCTGTGGCCAGGGTGGGGGCACATGACCCCAGCTCTGGCGCCCCCACGGGAGCTTCTGGGGTTTGCATGGAAGTTTTTTCTTTTTTCTTTTTTTAAGATTTATTTATTTGAGAGAGCGAGAATGAGAGAGAGAGAGAGCACATGAGAGGGGGGAGGGCCAGAGGGAGAAGCAGGCTCCTCGCTGAGCAGGGAGCCCGACGCAGGACTCGATCCCGGGCCTCCAGGATCATGACCTGAGCCGAAGGCAGTTGCTTAACCAACTGAGCCACCCAGGCGCCCGCGTGGAAGTTTTCTTTTGCGGGATCTGCTTTATCAGAGTGTGGTTTACAAGACGTGCAGTTCACGGTCTTTAAGCGCTGGCCAGCCGGGCACAGGCGTGTTGGCTTCTGTGAGGTTAAGGGACGCGTTTGCGAGCCTCTGTTCATGCACACGAGCCCTGCTCTTGCAGAAGCCCCCGTGGTGCTCTGATGGGCCACTGGACCAGCGCCACCTTGGGGTCACGCCCCTGCTGTCCGCGTCGTGGGCAGGGTCGCTGGCTGACCCCGCTGATGACCCAGAGGCCCTGGCCAGCTGCTCACATCTGCCGGCAGTGGCTTTTCCTGTGTCCCCGACGGAGGCCCCCGACGGCCCAGCGAGGAGTGAGCCTCCGGGGCTCGTTGGTGCTGTGCTGGCGTGGCCACTGGGACAGACGGCAGCCGTGACCCCCCTTCTCTGCAGTACCCTCACTTCCTGAAGAGAGAAGGCAACAAGCTCCAGATCTTGCTGCAGCGGAGAAAGCGATACAAAAACCGAACGATCTTGGGCTACAAGACGCTGGCGGCGGGCTCCATCAACATGGCCGAGGTGAGCGCGTCCCCACTCAGCCAGAGGCCCCCATCATGCCTGACCCGATGGCCTGTGGGTTCTGGCCCAGCGTGGGTACGTCCTGTGCCCCCACCTGGGAGAGCGTCCTCCTGGGACATCTGCGTCCCCTTCCCTGGCCCGTGGCTGCCTAGGCAGGCTGCACGTGCTTGCTGTGGGGTGGGGGCGCAGGATGTGAGCCTAAGGAAGTTCCCTGGGGAGGTGAGGAGGGGAAGTTCGTGAAAATGGAACCGACCAGCCGACACCACCGTGTCCCGGAGGACCTGCTGTCCCGAGCTGTGGTTGGCAGCCGAGGCCCCTTGTGTCCTTTGTGCTTTGGGCCTTCACCACCACAGGGTCGCGTTCAGGGCTGTCCAGGCGCCTGTGAGGCTCAGGAACGCGGAGCTGTGTGGCGCCCACCTGGGGCCGGGCAGGGCCGCCCCGCACCTCCCAGCCCTGCCCCCCTCTGGCCCAGGACCCCTGTGCCCACGGCACCTGGTCAAGCCTGTGGGCCTCCTTTCTCCCCTCAGACCCTACGTGCCCGACACTCTCGACAAGCGTCCTTCAGGCAGGTGGCACGGTTGTGCAGGGCGTGAGGAGGAAGCCCGTGCACCTGTCTGTCAGCCCCGCACACGGGTGGGCAGAGGGGGCGTGTCTGGGTGCTGGCTGACCTTCCTAATTTGGTTTCTGAGATGGAAGCAGTCACGGATGTTACCTTTCTCAAAAATTTCATTTTCGTACTCTACTCAAGAGTTGGCACCCCAAATCAGGCTCCCCAAATTAAAAATAATCGGGTCCACGAAATCCCAAAATTTGGATTTGGTCGAATGACCCCAAAGGCAGCTTGTAGGATGCAGAGGCTCCAGCCTGCAGGGGCGTCCTCGGAGTTGTCACCAGCCAGGGCGCGAGGGGGTGTGAAGGGGTGTGAGTCCCTGTCCCTGGTCTGCTTGAAATCTCTCACGACCCGAATGGCTCCAAGGACTCACCGGCCTGGTGGGTGTCGGCTCTGCCACACAAGACCCCCAGCCTGTGCAGGTCGCCGGTCCTCCTTGGTCCCCCACGGACACGGATCCCTGGACACAGATCCTGGGGCTTGGTGGCCCCGAGCCATAGCCTTACACACAGTCTGGTCCACGCTGCAGCCTCTGGACAGGCGGGCTCAGACCCCCCACTCCTCGACAGCCTTCAGTCCCCAGTCGCTGAGTCTGGCGCCGACCCCCAGAGTCTTGGCCGGTGTCCTGCCCCACGGGCGCGTCTCCTGCCTGCCCCATGCCCCTGCTCCCGTGCACCCAGAAGGGGGTGCTGTTGGGTGCTGGCCCTGCGCCTTGGCACCTTCTAGAGCTGAGCCCTGCCCCCAGGTGATGCAGCACCCCTCCGAGGGCGGCCAGGTGCTGAGCCTCTGCAGCAGCATCAAGGAGGCCTCGGTCAAGGTGGCCGAGATCTGGATCTTCTCCCTGTCCAGCCAGCCCATTGACCACGAGGACAGCGCCATGCAGGCAGGACCCAAGGCCAAGTCCGCAGGTGAGTACAGCTGCAGGGCGTTCCACTTGGCTGCCTCCGGGCCCCCTTCCTGCTGGGTCTGAGAAGCTGGGGAGGGACCCACGAGGGTTTACGGGTTTCTCTGGGCTGGGTGAGCACGCTCCACAAGCAGCATTGTGTACACTCTGGGTGCCTGGGCTGCAGGCGTGCGAGCTCAGCGGTAGGCAAGAGGTCATGGGCTTGATTGCGGTGCCTTCCAAGGTCTGGGCACAGGTCCTGGTGTGGCTGTCAGCACCGTCGCGGTGGCGGCCGCTGTCCCGCTGAGGTGCGGGAGGGCACGCAGGGGACCCAGTTGGCCCTGAGATCCAGGCTGAAGCACCTGAGGTCCGTAGGGGCCACTGTGGGAGTGAGGAGCACTGGCCTGCCCCCTCCCCGAAGTCTACCTGCGGGGGGCGGTGCACGGCTCCCCGCGGGTCCAGGGGCCCGTCCTCTGGCCGCCGCCTCATCGCCAGGACACCGGTCGGAATCTCAAGGTGCTCCCCCTTCCGTTTGCTCATTCCGCAGATAACTACTCCGAGGAGGAGTATGAGAGCTTCTCCTCTGAGCAGGAGGCCAGTGACGATGCCGTGCAAGGGCAGGTAACCCAGGGCCCGGTGCGCAGGACCGTGAGGCCGTGTGGGCCCCCAGAAGCTCGGGGTGTGGACGGCCAGGGACCCCGGAGCTGGGTGGAGGCTGGGAGCTGGCCCCCTGCGTGTGCCCCAGGGTCCCGCCGCGCACCCGCAGACGCTCTGGGGGTGCCCTCTGCCAGCCCCTGTGCTTGTCTCCCAGGATTTGGACGAGGAGGATTTCGATGTGGGGAAACCCAAGAAGCAGCGGCGATCGATAGTAAGAACGGCGTCCATGACCAGGGTCGGTGGAAACTGGTTTTACTAACACTGGGGAAGGGCAGGGCTGGGGGGCTGGGGGGCTGGGGGCCCCACATTGGGCGTCGGGACGGGAGGTGGCCGTCCCGGGACACGCCCCCTCCGTGGCCTGGCTCTGCTGGCTTCTCCTGAGGCCCAGCCTCTTCGTGGGGCGTGAAGGCAGGGAGACCCCATGGCCTTGTACTGGCGGGTGGGCTACGAGGTGCTGGTCATCGACCCGGGAAGCTTCACTGGCGGGGTCCTTGTGCTCATCCTGGGTGGCCGCCCCTGGCCCAGAGGGCAGGGAGGAGGTGGGACAACGGCCGCCCTGCTCAGGCTGCTCCATGAGCAGAGCTGGGGAGGCTGTCCGCCTCCCGCCTGTGCCCAGACAAGCCCCTCGTTTCTGCTCAGCGTCTGGCCCACCCGGCATAGTGGCCCCCGGGCTCTGGCCATCCTGCTTCTCCTCCAGGAGGAAAGCTCCAGGTGGAGGCCTTAGCCCGTCACAGAACGCCCACCGCTGGGCACAGAGCCCCGGGACAGTTCCCAGGGCCAAGCTGCTCCTGTGTGCAGGGCCGTGGCCCCAGGCCCGGGCTGTGCAGTGGGTGGCCACAGAACCCTTGGGGCACAAGCCCAGCCCCAGAAACCTCTGCCCCCTCCTCTGGCAATGCTGGTCCCGGTACAGCGGGTGGGGCATGGCAGCACCTGTGTGAGCCTGCTTCCAGGCTCAGGAGCCTGACACCTGTGGAGGGGATGTGGGAGTCCTTTATAGGGTCACCCCCTTGAGGGGGGCTAGGGGCAGCTGCCTCACTCAGTGGCCAGAGCTCAGCCTCTGAGGCCCAGGGCAGCACTGGGCACGGTGGAGCTTGGGCTCCCTCTGAGCCCTTGCTGTCCACCTGCACACCGTGTGCCCAGCCCTGAGTCCCGCTGGGGTGAGCTGGTGCCTTGGGCAGGGCTGGCAGCCTTGCTCACATGGAGGCCTCTGGAGGGAGAGACAGTGCACACCCTCCCTCCGGCTCCTCCCTGGTCTGGTCCTACGTCCAAGCGCAGCTATGGTGTCAAATGCTTGTAAAGGGGTTGGCACTGCTGGCTGCCGAGAGCCGGGCTCGCGTGAGCCGTGGGGACCGTGCCTCCCTCCTGCCGAGCCTGCCACGTCCTCCCAAGGGAAGCTGGCCCCTTGGGTTCTGATTCTGTCCTGCTTGTCTTGCAGCAACAAAACTTCAAGCAGAAGGTCGTGGCGTTGCTGCGGAGGTTCAAAGTGTCAGATGAGGTGAGTGACCCCGCCAGGCCCGTGGCATCCTGTGAGACCAGGGCTCTGGAGGCATCTGGGCCTCGTCCTGGCTCTGCCACTGACCGTCCCACCCCCGGGGCACCTCGAGGGCCGAGCCGAGGCCGCCAGCGCGTGTCTGCAATCACAGCCCTGGGGACAGACCCGGGGGGAGGCTGGACGTCATTTGGGGGTGTGACCATGCGTTTTGTGTTTTGTGTCATTCTAAGTTGAGCGTATTTTGGGGCCGTTCTCGGTTAGTTTCCGTGCGCCCCCGCCACCACACGCACAGCCCCCCACTGACACGCTCTGACCTGCGGCTTCCTTCCTTTAGCTGTTTTCCACTCTCCAAATTTGCTGGGATGGGTTTGTATACCTTTCATAACCCCAAGAAAAATACCTCAGTTTTCCTTTTAACGTGGGCGTGAGAGAGTTGGCCCGCAGGTCCTGGATCCGCCCAGGAGAGGTGGCATGTAAGTGTCCACGTGTCACCGCCACACGTGGTTATGGCTGCACGGAAGGTGACGGCCGCTCGTCCACACATGTGAAGGGTCTTGCGGGCGTGGTGGCGGCTCTTCTCAGATGCTGGAGCTGGAAACAGACCCGTCTCAGCCTCAGTCGCCCCAGATCCGTCCACGGCTTCTGTAGGATCCCTGTCTGCAGACCAGCTCGTCCCCACACCTGCACAGAAATGCAAGGGACCCGCAATAAACAACAGTCTTAGAAAAGAACAAAGTTGAAGAACTCACACTTTCTAAGAGGTACGGTAATCAAGACCACGCAAGAGACTAGAGGTCAGTTTCCAAAAAGGATACCAAGACCACTCAATGGGGGGAAGTAGGCTTTTCAGCAGGTGACAGAGTACAGCCAGGTGTCCACATGCAAAAGGACCTCACACCATGTACAAAATTAACTCCAAACGGATCAAAGACCTAAACGTGAGCGCTTCCACGACGAAACTCAGGGGAGTGATCTTGGCGCCTGGGGGCCGGGCCATGTGGCTTAGACAGGACACCGGACGCACGAGCCGCCAGAGGGAAACGGGTAAGTCAGACCACATCAAAACGTAAACGCCTCTGTGTTCCGAACAACCATCAGGAAGATGAAAAGTCACGTGGACGGTGTTTGCCAATTATAGATCCTGTGAGGGACCCGTGCCCACAAGATGGAAGGCACCCTTACGGCCCCAAATAAAGAGACAATCCAGAGAGAAATTAATTGCCCAGTTCAAGCGTTGGTCAGAGGCTTGGACTAGAGGTTTTCTCTGAGGAGGGACCTGGATAGCCAGCAAGCCCCTGAGAAGCTGCAGGGCGACCTCCTGAGGCCACAGAGGGTAGGCGTGACCTCGCAGGACAGAGTGTGGGGGCACCGACATCGGGGGGAGCAGCCGGACCTGCAGGGCTGACGGGAACACCCCACAGGGCAGCCACTGTGGAAGACAGCCTGGCAGTTCCTCCAAGTGTCAACTTCACACTTAACCAGCGGTCGCCCCAGCGGTCGCCCCAGCGGTCCCGCACGTGGTACTCACCCCATGAGATCCAGGATGTCCACATGAGGACTGAGGGACAGACAGTCCCAGGAGCTTCGTCTGTGGCAGCAAAGCCTGGAGCGTCCATCCACTGGTGGCCAGCTAGACCCAGCCCACGTTCAGGGGCGGGCGGGCAGGCGGTGACGAGGACGTCACTGGAGGCAAACAGTGCAGACGCTTCCTGATAGGCGCGCCTGAGTAGGAGGAGCCCCATGCCGAGGGCTGCACCTGTGTAACCATTTCTGTGACGTTCTGGAGGAGGCCCATGCATGGGCACGGAAGTCAGTTCAGGGTTGGGGGGGACAGTGAGAGGGTGGGGAGGCCTTGGGGAGGGAGGCATCCCAAGCCCTGACTGCGGTGCGGGCCTGTCCCAGGTGGGCTCCCTGCCCTGCACTCCTGCCGTGCATTTCTCTGTTGAAGTAGGAGCCACGAGGGGCAGAATGGCCGTGCCGTGCTCGGCACCTGGTGACTGGAGGTCCTAGAGGTCACCCCAGCGTCTGGCAGAACTGGGCTGGTGGCACATGCTGGAGAGAGGGTGATTGGTGGCTCCATGCCTTTTTGCCGTCTGTCCTGCTAAGGGGAACCCCCAGACCAGCCCTCACACGTCTGACCTCCCTGTAGGTCCTTGATTCAGAGCAGGACCCTGCAGAGCATGTCCCTGAGGCAGAGGAGGACCTGGACCTTCTGTATGACACGCTGGACATGGAGAACCCCAGTGACAGTGGCCCAGACCTGGAGGATGATGACAGTGTCCTCAGCACCCCCAAACCAAAGCTCAGGTGAGCACACCCACCACCTCCATCTGCCGCCTGGCCCCAGGCCCCAGCAGGCACACCCATGCCATCCCACATGTTGCAGGGGCCACAGGGAATCGTGCACTTGGGGACATGGGCTCTGGGTCGGGGGGGGTGGATGTGCATCCTAGCGGGCGGCCCAGGTCTGCAGTGTTTGTGGAGCGAAGTGACAGGGTCACGGCTACATTCTGGAAAGATCTCTCTGGAATCACTGGGAGCATGAAGACAGGAGACCGGTTAGGAGGCATTGGGGTCGTCCCTGGAAGAGGTCGTGGTGTCAGAGGTGGAGGGGCGAGAGTTCTGGGTGGGAAAGGCGGTCTTCCCAGGGTCTCGGCTGGGCCGAGCGCGGCACCTGTCACAGGAGGCAGCCAGCAGGTGGGGGGCCGTGGGGTTCTTCTCTGCACTGGGGACATGGGGAGCTGGGGACTGCAGAGCATCCCTATCCCCCAGGAGCCAGGTGTCAGCCTGGCTGGGGCAGGAGAGGGCAGGAGGCCCCGGGCTTGGGGTCGGGGGAGGCTTGGCCCACGGGACCGAACAGCGTGTGGCTGCCAAGTGGGGGCCATATTGGCGTCCAGAAGATCTGTGGCATTCTGGCTTTGCTTTTAATGCTTTCCTGTGTGTGTGTGTGTGTGTGTGTGTGTGTGTGTGTGCGCGTGTGTGTGTTTGAGACAGAGAGCACGAGCAGGAGTGGGGGGGAGGGGCAGAGGCAGAGGCAGAGGCAGAGGGAGAAGCAGGCTTCCTGCTGAGCAGGGAGCCGGATGCGGGGCTCCATCCTGGGATCACGACCTGAGCCGACGCTCCACCGACCGAGCCACCCAGGCGCCCCTTAACTCTTTGATACGAGTCAGTGGGACAGAGATGCCCACGGGGAGGGTGGGCTTTCTGTGCAGCTGCTGACCTCCAGCCGCCCCACTGTGGCCAGTCCCGTGTGGGCACACCTGTGGCATCCGTAGGCTCTGGTCTAGGTGTCAGCCACTGGCCTTCACTGCAGATGCAGCTTGGGGGGTCCACTTACAGGCTCAGCCCACCCCGTGTCTTGCCAGCAGCCCCCCCCCCACCAACAGAGCTGGCAAGGCCATCGAGGCACCTTGGGCTTTGCTGCCTTCAGTGGAACAGGTCTCTGCTTCTGTCATCCCTGGGGTCACCTCGGCCCCCGGCCGACCCGTCTGTCGTCCGTGGGGTCACCTCGGCCCCTGGCTGACCCTTCTTTTGTCCGTGGGGTCACCTTGGCTGGTCGTGGGCCAGCTGGTACTCACAGTCCCGGGGGGCAGGGCTTAGGCATCTCCAGCCCTGGCCCTGCCCTCGCCTTTCCCTGTCCCTGGGGGTCTCTCACCAGACTGCCTGAGCCCCACCCACCATTTCAGCCTGAACTGTGTTCTGAGTCTCTGAGTCTGAGTCCCCCCCCGCCCGGCTATCTGCTGGGGGCAGGGTGTTTGGCCTGCTGGCCTGGGGTCACTGGACCCTGCAGATGGCACCCTGGTGGCGGCCTTGAGCACGTCCCTGTGGTGCTGCGAGCTGGCCGTGGGGCCTGAGGCTCCCCAGCCTCCTGCTGGTGGAGTCGCCCACCCGAATCGCCGGCTGCCCTGCCCAGGGTAAAGGCCAGGGGTGCTGGGTTTCAGGGATGCAGGTTTTCTGCGGATATCAAAGCCGGTGGAGGGGCCGAGAAGGGCTGCAGGTTGCGTGGTGCTCAGCATCCTCTCCTGGGCCATGGTTCCCAGCCCTGCATGGCTGCCAGATGCCACAAGCACAGTGGCCGACCCTTCAGTGTGGGGGGGGTCCTAGAGCGTGACCTCTCTCCATCCGCACACCCAGGCCCTACTTCGAAGGGCTATCACACTCCAGCTCGCAGACGGAAATCGGGAGCATCCACAGTGTCCGGAGCCACAAGGAACCTCCGAGTCCCGTGAGCAGGCCAGACCCGGCAGCCCCTCCCTCCTGGTGGGACCTCAGGACAGGGGTAGGCCGTCCTGATCTCCCCGTCTCTCTGGGTCGCTCAGAGTGTTACTTACACTTGGTATTACACTGTGCTCCTGGGTTTGTATGTGGCCGGAATCCCCTGCCCAAAGCCACATGCCTGTCTTGGGGTGACCCTACAGCCATGGTCTAAGAAAGCCCCGGCCAGTCATCCCTCGCTGCCCCCAAGCCCCCTGCCCGGAGGTGAGCCAGCCTTGTGCCCACCATTGAACACATCTTGATGTCCTTCTTGTCCACACAGGCCGGCGTGCCTGAGAAGACTCGAGCCCTGGGAGGCAAGCAGCCAAGCGACAGCGTCTCGGACACGACCCCTGTGAGCAGGCGCGGGACTTGTGCACTGGGTCCAGCACAGAGTCCACTTATACACTGCCTTCAGGGCAGGCCTTGACACGGGGGTCCTCAGCTCACACCTCCCAGGACCAGTGCACAGACCACGATGAGGGCGCCCCTGGGTTCACCCCCACCCCAAGGGATGGTCAGGGTCCCCCGGAATCACTCTAGTTCTGGGAGGACAGGGGGTGTCCCCCTGCTTTGCTGAGCACAGGCCCCGTGAACACTATAGTTGACCCCTGTTTTGCCCTCGTGGGCATTCTCAAGGAAAGTATCCTGGGCTGCAGGGCAGGTTTTAGGGAGGTTTGGGGGAGGCTTGGTGCTGGTTTCGACTGGGAGCCCCGTGGTTGGAAGCAGAGGTCAGCTTGGCTCCTCAGCGGAGTGCGTGTCTGTGCTGCATGTGGAGAGCTGTCAGCCTGAAACCAGCCTACACACCCCACCCAAACCAGGGGCTCCTCGGGGCTGAGACTGGCCCCCGAGGGGAGGCTCTGCAGGACGTGCCTACCATCGGGCCCCCTTCTCTGCATCTCAGAGCACACCCGCCCCCGGGGAGCAGCCCGCACAGCCCGAGGACAGCCCGGAGGCGGAGACCTCTGCTCTGGACGTGTTCACCGAGAAGCTGCCGCCCAGCGGGCGGATCACCAAGACAGAGTCCCTCGTCATCCCCTCCACCAGGTGACAGGATGCCCTGGGGAGGCTGTTGGCCAGGCATCGCCCACATGAGCCAGTGTGGCGGGCAGGGCCCCATGACTGGATGAGACTCACTTAGAAGCACAGAGATTTCAGGGCCCGCCCCGGAGGTCCACATGGGACCCCACACACCCCTGTTTGTAGCTAGCTGCCAGCAGGCCTTCTGGGGCTGAGGTGTGGCCCCAGCTGCCCATCTTACGTTTTCCTGCCCCTGGCACCGTTCACTGGCACCTTGTGGACCAGCGTAGCCCTGGTGCAGGAGGAGTGTGCCCAGCTGGGCCCAGAGTCCAGTGTGGTCAAGCACAGCAGCCCCCGGGCAGTGATGCTGGGTCCGGCATGGGAGCTCTGCGGGGCCAGGACCCTGCCCCTCATGGTGGGCATCACAGAGGTGGGGATCTGGGTGGCAAGGACCCGGGCAGCTTCCCAGTGGAGGACACTCCCGCAGCATCTCTTACCTGCCCCCACTGCCGTCTCCGTCAGCCTGGGGGTCATCTCTGAGCCCCTCCCTGGGACGTGCTCCCCAGCCCATCTTGTCTTCACCTTCCTTGGGCACCTGGCCGAACTCCCAGCGCCCTCTGTACCGCAATGTGTGGCCACGTACTACCGCTCCCCCCAGGACCTGCGTTCCTGCCCTGAGACCTGCTGGGCTGGGGCCTTCTGCAGGGAGACAGCGGAGCCCCCTTCCTGGGTTCCGTGCTGCCAGCACTCACGTGTTGTATCAGGCCTTATGTCCATGTGGAAAGCGCATGTGCCCAGTGTGTGCATGGCCTCCACGTCAGCCCTTTGCCCCCAGAGGAGCCCACACTGCCTGCCACCTGCCCTGCCACCCTCTGTGAACCCACCACGGCCCCGCCGCTGAGCAGCCCCCTTCCCTGGGGCGGTGAGCACGTGGGCCTGCCCCAGCCTGTGCTGCTCCCCGGCAGGTCCGAGGGGAAGCAGGCTGGCCGCCGGGGCCGGAGCACATCCCTGAAGGAGCGGCAGCCCGCGCGGCCACAGAACGAACGGGCCAACAGTCTGGACAATGAGCGCTGCCCGGACACAAGGAGCCAGCTGCAGGTGCGCACTCCAGGACAGGTCACGGGCAGAGGCCACGGCTGCCCAGAACTGACCCAGTGCTGGCAGCTCAAGGGGGAGGCAGCCCGGCCACCTTGTGGGCTGTGACGGTCCCATGGTGCTTTAAGCCCAGTGACCTGTCCAGTGCAAAGCCGAGTTCTTGAGCAAGAACAGGGCCGGCCTCTCCTGCCCACTGCTAGGTGGGCTGCTTGGGGGGTGGGGGTCAGCTGGACAGGTGAGGGGCTGCAGCACCTCTCCCACCAGCGTGGATGGGCCTTGTGTCTCCAGATCCCCAGGAAGACCGTGTATGACCAGTTAAACCACATCCTCATCTCTGATGACCAGCTCCCTGAAAACATCATTCTCGTCAACACCTCCGACTGGCAAGGGCAGGTGGGGAGGAGCCAGGTGTCCTCCTGCAGCAGGAGTGGGGGGTGTCCTCTCTGCAGGGGGAGCAGGGGGTGTCCTCTCTGCGGGGGGAGCAGGGGGTGTCCTCTCTGCAGCGAGCGGGGAGGTGTCCTCTCTGCGGGGGGAGCGGGGGGGTGTCCTCTCTGCGGGGGGAGCGGGGGTGTCCTCTCTGCGGGGGGAGCAGGGGGGTGTCCTCTCTGCAGCGGGAGCGGGGAGGGTGTCCTCTCTGTGGGGGGAGAGCCCACGCCTGGTGGCGCTGACGGGAGGCTGGCTGGAGCGTTGAGGCTCACTCCGCGCACGCACGCCCTCGCCCCAGTTCCTGTCGGAAGTCCTGCAGAAGCACACGCTCCCCGTGGTGTGCACATGCTCTGCCGCTGACGTCCAGGCGGCCTTCAGCACCATCGTCTCGAGGATACAGAGATAGTGAGTCCAGCTGCCATGGGGCGTCTGTCGGGGTCGCTACACCCCAGGTTCACCTGGGGCTGTGTCCCGGGGGCGGTGGCGGACCGCAGACGTGCCCACCCACAGGCTCTCCACAGCCCCGTCTTCCGTCCAGACCCGGGCGGTAGGGGGGCCCCTCTGGCGGGGGGGGGGGACCTGGCAGCAAGCGCGGCTCCCTGAGGCATCTGCCCCCTCTCTGCCCTGCCCTCGGGGCCGCAGCTGCAACTGTAACTCGCAGCCGCCGACCCCCGTGAAGGTAGCCGTGGCAGGGGCGCAGCATTACCTCAGTGCCGTCCTGCGGCTGTTCGTGGAGCAGCTGTCCCACAAGACCCCCGACTGGCTGGGCTACATGCGCTTTCTCATCATCCCGCTGGGTGAGGGGCTTTTGGGGGGGGACAGGCGTGGAGCGCCCGCCCCTGCGCTGGGCACCCTTGGGGCCCCGCACCCCGTCGTCGGGCCACCTCGATGTCACTGTCAGAAGCAAGGCAGGGTGGTTGCAAACCCTTGTAAAGGATCAAACCCCGTGGAACGTGGCTTTGCATCTGTGGCTCGCACGACGTGTTACTGGGAGGCGCCGGGTCCCAGGGGAGGGGCTGCCTGGCACCCCAACACCCTCTGTGGTCTGCAGCGGTGCCCCTGCCCCCAGGAGCAGGGAGGGGCTTCGAGGGGCCACAGAGCAGGCTCTGCAGCCTGACCCTCTCCCCTGGGCTTGCAGGTTCCCACCCCGTGGCCAGGTACCTGGGCTCCGTGGACTACCGCTACAACAACTTCTTCCAGGACCTGGCCTGGAGAGACCTGTTCAACAAGCTGGAGGCCCAGAGCGCCGGTGAGGCCTGGGGCCAGCCGGCCGGGTAGGGCTACCCTCACATCCTGCCGCCACGCCTCCGTGAGCTGCCACGCCTCCGTGAGCAGAAGTGGGGCCTCAGCCGGGTGCTCCCCACTGGCCGCCATGGGCCTCAGACCTAGCTGGCCCCAGGGGCCCCGGACGGGGGCTCCCAGGGATCCGGAAGAGCTGTGAGGGCGGGGGGGGGGCCCTCAGCTGCCCCCAGCATTCCCACTGCTCCTGGGCTGGGAGCTGGGCGGCCCTGGGGCACCATGTGGGGTGGGAGGGGAGTGTGGCACCCCATGGACTTTGCCCGGCCTTCTCGTGCAGTGCAGGACACGCCGGACATCGTGTCGAGGATCACCCAGTACATCGCAGGTGCCAACTGTGCCCACCAGCTGCCCATCGCGGAAGCCATGCTGACCTACAAGCAGAAGAGGTACCTCGCTGGGCCCTGGGCAGGGCAGGGTGTGCGGGAAGGCGGGGGCACCGGCTCCACGCCGCAGACGCAGGCCCCCCACAGCTGCCGGCCCTCCGCGGGCCTCCCTGCCTGCTGCTGGTCTCAGAGCCTTCGGGCAGCACCAGGGGGCTCGTCAGGATGGTCATTAGGGACAGACCTCGTTGGCCAAGGGACGGAACCCAGGCTGGGCTTGGGAGGAATGCCGTGAGCGGGCCTGGCAGCCCCAGGTCCTCCTCTGAGTTGGTTAGAAGGCGCTGGTCAATCTTTCTCTATTTTGTATGTTGGAATTTCCCATAATGAAGGTTAAAGGATCAACTATCATGCGGCCCCGTCCTAGTGGTGACCTGCTCACGGGAACGCAGGCCTGGGCTCCTTCAACCTCCTGGGCTTCCCGGGCCCAGAGACACGTTCTCGCCCTGACCCTGGGCAGGACAGTGGGCAGGAGCGGGGGGCCACTGCCGAGGCTGGGCGGAGGTCTGGCTGCCGGGCCTGCGAGGGTGGACGGCCAGGCAGGGAGGGTGGGCTGAAGGGCCGACTCTGCGAAGCGTCTGGACTCCCATCCGCGGGACGCTCTGCGGCTCTCCCGGCGTGGGGGTAGGAAATTCAGCTGACGTGTTGGCGAGCCGCAGCGGCCCTGCAAGCCCCGAGCTGGAAGCCGGGCGGCCATGCCACGCCGGGACGTGCGTGCTGAGCACATAATAACATGTCTGTGTTTTCTCTTTTGGTGGCTTTCTGAAAAGGAAAAAGAACTTTCATTTTGACTTTACCCTCAGGTACCGCTGTCCCTGGGTCTGCGCCCCTGTGTCCCCAGGCTGGTCTTTAGGGCTGTTTAGCAGTATGAGCAGCTGGGGGGTGTCTCGTACCCTGCCGCCCGTCAGGCAGGGCCCTCCACCGAGCGGCAGGCAGGTGGGCGCCCCGAGCCAGGACTTTGCTCTCTGGCCCCCACCCAGCTCGAAGGGCAGGCTGTCCTCTGTCCGCCACAGTCCAGAGTTTGAGTTGAAGAAGCGGCCAAGCTGACCGCCCCTGTGAGTGTCTGTGTTTCTGAAGTCCTGGGCACCACTTCTTACAGTAGAAGCAGGTGCTTGGGGTCTTACCACGAGCCACTGGCCACTGATGCCACACTGGCCATGTGTGGACTTTTGTCCCACCACGTTGTAGCTGATGACCTGACTCATCGCTGCCGATTCTACACGTGGGGATGTGCAGGCCAAAGGGTGGGGGGCCCACCGGATGGCGCACACTCCCAGCCTGGCTCTGGGTCCTGCGCCTGGGGCTGCGGGGAGCGGCACCGAGGGTCTCTCGGCTGAGTTTTGTGGCTCAACTGGGCAGGTGGCCAGACTGCTAAGACCCCCACGTGCAGTGAGGGGCTTTTCACCGCCAGGTGGCTCCTCCCTTGAAAACCTACATGTTGGGAGCCACACTCCAAGGCACCTCCAGAGCTGCCCTTTCATTTGGGGTTCCCCTTTCTTGTCCTGGCAGCCTGCCTGCCGGGCCCCCCTCGGGGAACCGCTCCACTCTGGGTCTTGGCGGCTTTCTCTCCTGGGAAAGCCCGCCAGCCCAGGGTCACTGAGCCCCAGGCAGCCTCCTTGCTGGACAGACCAGGAGGAGGGGTCTGCGTCCCTACGTGGTCCTGCTAAACGAGCCTTTGTGAGCTAAAGAAAGACCAGCCGAGGAGTGCCCCGTGACTGCTCAAGCCGCCCTGGGCGCCATGCTGCGGACGCCTGCAGCCTGCTTTGCTGCCTGGCACCAGCCCCTCGTCTCTCCAGCCCAGGCTTTAGGGGACCCTGGCCCTCGTCCCGTGCCTCCTGTGCCCACCTCTGCGTCACAGTGGTGGCACCAGCACCTGGGTTGGGGCCCCAGGAAGGCCCAGTGTGTTGGCCACCCATAGAGCCCGGGACCGGGAGGTCAGCAGGTCATCTCTGTCTGCTGTGACAGAGGACAGAGGGGTCAGGAGACCCAGGAGAGGGTGGGCGGTGGACATGGCCCTCGGGGCCCCATGTCCTCCTGCTCCCATGGGAGCACTGCAGGGAGGGTCTAGACCGCGCGCAGCTCCTGGCCTGCCCTCAGACCACACCTGCGGTGTGCGGCCCCAACAGCTCCCTGGGGGCACCTGGGGGTGGGGGTGACGTCCAGGGCACTATGTCCTCAGTGCTCTCCCAGCTCTGTGCTCCCAGTGTTGAGCTGAGGCACGTTTGTGCTCCCCCCACATGGTCTCATGAGCCACAGGCCCAGGGGCCCCCCACCGTGGAGCCACACGTATGAGCCTTAGGAGTTCTGACCTGTGCCCCACCCGAGACACGCGTGCTCCCTCTGCGTCCAGAGTTCAGGTGGCGAGTTCTCAGTGGCAAGCCGGTGTCACCCCTGTCCCGCTGGGCGTGTGTCAGGTGCTGAATGTTGTCTGCATGGCCCAGGCTCGGCTTGGCTTCTCAGAGTCCAGCAGCACCCCCGTGTGGTGGCGTTCCCCCGCGGCCCCGCCAGGCCCTCGCCTGCCTCCCTGCGTGCTGCTCATGGGGAGGGTCCTGGACCCCTGTGGGCTGGAGCCTCCCCCGCCCTCGGCCGGGGGCCCATGAGGACCTTGCATGCGAAAGCCGGCCTGGGCACGGGGTCCAAATTGCTGTGTTATCTGTGGATAAGCTCTGTTCCCTTCAGGTCAGAAAGGCTCGGGATGTGGCCATATTCAGCAGGATGGCCCAAATCTGTAGGTTCTTTTATCCAGAAACTTGCCAGGTTGTCCTCGGAGGTGTGATGGGCGGTGCCGGGGCAGAGGCCATGGGTCCGTGTGTCCAGGTGGCGCCCAGGGGCCTGCCAGCCCGGTCCCCTCGTGCAGGTGCTGTGCCACAGGGTGAGGACAGTGCCTCCTGCTGGACCGGCCTTGGGCGCCTGGTGTGCGTTCTGTGCCGGCCCCGGCGCACATTGCCTGGGGAGCACTGGCCAGGCGCCCGCCTCCTTCCCCGCAGGAGCAGGGCTGGGGGATGGCCTGAGAGCCAAGGAAGCTGGGGCAAGGAGGTGCCCCCCTTCTCTGAGGTCACAGGAGGCCCAGAACTGGCCCTGTCCGGGGGATTTTCCCAAAGGCCGGGAGATGCTCTTACAGCCAGCCTGGGAGCCTGGTGCCCGAGCACCCCATCCCCCACCGGGAGAGCCACTCAGGCCCCGGCCCCACGGTGGAGACCAGTCATTGCAGAGCCAGCTGCAGGGATGAGCTGCAGGACTGGCCTGGCCCACGGAGCTCAGATGCTGGTTTGCGTCCCCTTGGCTGCTGCCCCCTCCCTGCCCCCGAGGGCCCTCCGACATGCCTGCCTGCCCCAGCGATCCCAGGGAAGCTGAGTCTCTCCTAGAAGACACGGGGTGCCCGGTCCAGACAGAACCTCACGGCTGCCCGTGCTGGCCGGCCTCCTACAGCGCAGCATGGCCCCGAAGCCTCAGTCTCCCCTTCAGGCTGCTCTTGGGGTGGCACTCTGCCAGAGCATGGTGTGTGCACCCCACCCCCGAGGCCGGAGGCCTGGAAATTACCCCTGCCCCGTCTCTCTGGTTGGTGTGGATTTTACCTAGACTGTCCAGGGGAAAAACCTCCACACTCTGGCTTTTGGTTGCCTCCAGTCGCTGGAGGAAGCCCAGACTGTCCCATGGGGGTCCTGGGGCACATGCCGCAAGCTGTCGTCTTGCGGCTGTGTGGAAACGGAGGCCTGCAGGGCTAGCAGAAAGGCACTCGGGCCTGGACACCAGGCCCCTGGGCTGGAGAAGCTGGTTCCCACACGGCTTCCCACAGGCCTCTTGACCTCAGCTGCAGGGAGCCGAGCTGAGGGTCGGAGGGCCAGGCCAGGCACTGCAGGGATGGGTGTGGGCATGGCATGGGCAGCATGAGGCCCTGGCTGCTGCCTGCCTGGTGGAGTGAGAGGTAACTGTCTGTGTTTCTTGTTCTTAGCCCTGACGAAGAGTCCTCTCAAAAGTTCATTCCTTTCGTAGGGGTGAGTACTTCTCTGGTGGGGCTCTTGCCGTACCCGAGGCATTCCTCCTGTGTGGCTGGCTTTACCTGCGTGGGAAATGATCAACCTGCCAAACTTTTTTTTATAATGTCTGGTTTTGCATTAACTTGATACGTTCGAGAACGTTCTTCACCAACTTGAGCTGAGTGCTCCTTTAAATCAACCCCCCCATCTTAAAGCTCATTGTTTCCTTCCCATGTTGAGTAGGGCTAGGCCCAGAGGTGGTCACTGCCCCCAGCTCTGCTTGGAGGCTGACAGGTGCAAGCACACAGTTCACCTGGAGGCGAGTGCTCAATGCTCAGCACGTCCTGGGCACACGGGCTGTGTCAGACTCGGCTGTGGGTGGGCGCCCAGTGTCAGCAGGGTCTGGGGACAGGTCCCACCGGGATGGGGCAGAGGGGTACTTCTGTCCCTTAGGAGCTATAGGACAGGAAGGGGTGCCTCCCGTACCAGCCTGCCGAGCTGGGAGTGTGGTTTGTAAATTGGGAGGTTTGTCTTTCTCCCACGGCTGACGATTAACAGCTGCTCTGTGCTGGCTGGGCCACTGCCGCGAGTTTTCATAGCCAAGAACCTCGCTGCGTGGCCTCCAGCCCTAGCATCTGCCGTGAGAGCCACAGGCAGTCTGGCAGACGGGGCCACTGGGCAGAGCAGGATGTCCACGCTGTCGCTTACCCTGGCCGGCCGTCAGGGCAGCTAGTGGCCCTCTTGGGACGGAATTAGTCCAGGGCAGCCTGTCTCGGGGAACCTTCTGTAGCAGCTCCAAACCCCCTGTGGACACTGGAAGCACCCACGTGACTGAGACATAAGTTGTCACTTCATTTAATTTTACGTGGCTCCCACACCGGTCAGCCCACGTGGCGCCCGGTGCAGGCCCCTAGCTGGGCAGGGGTCCCTCATACCAGGCCGGCCGTGGGCTCAGGGTTTGTGGAGGGGCTGCAGTGTGGGCTCTGTGCCCTCACCCCGGTGTGCAGGATGACCTGGGAGGGTGCTTCTGCAGCCCTGTCCCGCACAGGGACCCGCATCCACGGCCCATGCCACCTTGGGCTCAGCTCTGCTGCAAGGACGGGAAGAACCGGGACCCTGCCCCCACCCCGGAGCTCCCGGAAGGGTGGGCCATGGCAGCTGGGCGCCCTAGGGGAGACAGCACTCGGCGTCTGTCTGGAGCCCAGCGCCCGGGCGGGAGGGCTGGTGACTCCCCAGGCTGCGGCCAGCCGGCGTCCCCTTGCCTTCCAGGTGGTGAAAGTTGGAATAGTGGAACCATCCTCAGCCACGTCAGGTAGCCCCATGCTCCCTGCCCACGGGGCCAGGAAGGGGAGGGCGCCCCACAGTGGGAGGCCTGGCAGCCCCTCCCCTCCCCCCGCGGCTGCTCGGGGGGGACAGAGGCAGAGGGGAGCTCAGCGCTGCCCAACTCCTTCCCGAAGGTGACTCAGATGACGCGGCCCCCTCGGGCTCCAGCGCGCTCTCCTCCACCCCACCGTCCACGTCTCCCGCGGCCAAGGAGGCCTCACCCACCCCGCCTTCCTCCCCCTCAGTGAGCGGGGGCCTGTCCTCCCCCAGGTAAACGTGGCCGCACGAGGCAGGCACCCCACCCCATCCTGACTTGGGCGCGCCCCTGATGCAGCGGGGCCTTGGGTTAAAGAGCCCTGAGAACCACTCGTGGCCACGCCTCTGAGATGCCAGCAAGCTGAGGGTCTGGCTGGAGGGGGCGCTCAGAACAGCCATGGGGAAGACACGGGCTTGCTGGGGCCAGGTGCCCCATTGGGTGGGGGTGGCCCAGGTCCTCGCTGGCTTAGGAGACTTGTCCCTCTCCCCCTCCAGCCTTGGGGGCACTAGGGACAGAAACCACACGGAGTAAGTGAATGGGGGACTCTGCACGCAGACGGGGGGTCAGGAGACTGAGATGTGGGTAGAAGCTGTGGGAGCCAGGAGGTGGGGTGGTCAGCAGCCCTCCCAGCCACCCTCGGGTCTTTGGTGAGCAGAACTCACCCACACCCCCATGGGCCACAGGGTCCTAGGGCTGCTCCCGACTCCCATGGAGGCCACACCTCAGATGAGGCTGGTTGACCTTGGCCCTCCAGACTCAAAGGGGTGGTTTGAGAGCAGACGGGCGGCAGGCCCAGGTACTCCTGGGTGACATCAGCATCGCAGCCGTGCCCACCCACAGGCACAGACTGGGCTGTCCCCGGAGGCCAGGGAGGGACTGCAGTAGGCTCCAGGGCTGGGGCTCCCCTGTGTAGGCTAGCTGCCGCAGGCGGCCCCCCGGCAATGGGCCACACAGGCGCCAACCGGCACCTCCTCCTGCCTGTGCCAGCCGCCAGGCGAGGACAGAGGAGTGAGGCCCCCTCTGCTTTTTGCAGCCAGGGCGTTGGTGCCGAGCTGATGGGGCTGCAGGTGGATTACTGGACGGCAGCCCCGCCTGCAGACAGGAAGAGAGAGGTGGAGAAGAAGGACCTGCCCGCCACCAAAAACACGCTCAAGTGCACCTTCCGGTCTCTCCAGGTCAGCAGGCTGCCCAGCAGTGGCGAGGCCGCGGCCACGCCCACCATGTCCATGACCGTGGTCACCAAGGAGAAGAACAAGAAGGGTGAGGTGGGGGGATGGGCTGACTGCTGGGGGAACCGGAGGGGTGGCCATGCAGGCCCCGAGGTTGCCACGGGTCTGGGGACCGCTTCTGACCACGGCCATGAGCAGCGAGCAGAGGTCACCTCGGCAGGGGGAGGGCTGGCGGCCATGGTCACAGTGGAACGTGGGTGGCACGGGACAGCAGGGCTCCGAGGGCCGTGGCTGAACCCTGCAGCCCTTTCCCTCCTAGTGATGTTTCTGCCCAAGAAAACCAAGGACAAGGATGTGGAGTCCAAGAGCCAGTGCATCGAGGGCATCAGCCGCCTGATCTGCACAGCCAAGCACCAGCAGAACATGCTGAGGGGTGAGCACCTGCGGGGGCCCCCAGCACTCGTGGGAGGCCGGTTGTCCAGGTGTCCTTCCTTCAGTGCAGAGCCTGTGGGGAGGTGTCTAACATGTGAAAAGAAACCAGAGGAAGCTGGACTGCTTTTTAAAATTCATCTCTGGAAACACTTTTGTCTTGCTATGGAATGCGTATCACATAGTTCGAGCTTCGAACCCATTTTGATAAAGCATTTGTACGCATAGAACAGCTTTTTAAATCCTGAGAAATAATTTCTCAATCCTTTCCATTCTTTTAAGATTGATTTATATATCTCAGACCTTTTATAGAAGAAATGCTATAACTAGTTATTTCAGAATATGGAACCCAAACGGTTTTCTCTTCATGAGTTCAAGTCTGATGACCACTGTGGTCAAGAACTGCCCCGCCTTCCTCCGTGGCTTTTCTGGTCTAAGTGGAGGGTGTTTGAACCCAGTTTGCAGACCCCTGCTGGGGCAGGGGGGCCGTGGATGAGCAGGTCCCCCAAATCAGGGAGAAGCTGGCACAGGTGGCAGGAAGCAGGGGAGGGTGGGCGGTGGGAGGACTGACCAGCAGGTGTCTCGTGGGCGCCTGGGGTCCCCGGGGGTGCTGGGCACGGGGGGCAGGCGGCTCAGTCGGTCTGTCCTCACAGTCCTCATCGATGGTGTGGAGTGGAACGACGTCAAGTTCTTCCAACTGGCGGCCCAGTGGTCCTCCCACGTGAAGCACTTCCCCATCTGCATCTTCGGACACTCCAAGTCCACCTGCTAGCCCTGCCCCAAAGCCCTGGACGGCGAGCGCCGGGAGGGCCCAGCTGCTTTTCTGTTAACATTTCAGTTTACTACAGAGACCCTTAAAAACACAAAGAGAAACAGTCTTAAGTATGAACGTGCTCTCAACCTGGAAACTTATGGGGAGGCTGCCCCCCCCCCCCGGAGCCCATTAACTGCTCTGCTCATTAACCAGATGTGCCGGCGGGGTGGGAGGCCAGGTGGACGGCGCTGAGCTCTGAGAATCACGAAAGATGTGTTTTGGCCTCAGGACCTCCCGAGCCCCCCAGCAAGAAGGGTCCTCGCCCTTGTGTCCTGTCCTTCCAGAAAGCCAGGACTCTGCTTCCTCAGGGAGCTGGGGTCAGGCGGGCGGCCACACAGGTCCGCGGGCTGCTTGTGTGCCCAGACACAGAGCTGGGTGACCAGAGGCTGAAGGCCGGCCTCCTGTTGGGGGCGCCCTGAGCAGAATATGGTGGTCGGGCAGCCCAGGCCTGGGCCCAGCCACCCACCAGCCGAGAGATGCCCCAGCACCGCCCACTTGTGGTTCCCAATAAACTCCAGCCTCGAGGGGCAGTGGAGGTTTTATAGTAGCAGATATTTTTAATGCTTTTAAATACATGTTATAATGTAGCTGCCAAACAGACAGCGCTCTTCCGATGTCCCAGTGGCCCCTGGGGCTGGGGCAGAGCCAGCCAGTGCTGTCCCGCGTCCCAGCCCCCACCCGCCTCACTCTCCCTCTGGCTGTTCTTGAGCCATCACTATGCTTCTGCTGGTTGTCCCTGCCCCAAATTTAGCAAGCTCAGTGGCCCCCACAGCTGGCCCCAGCCCACTCAGCCTTCTCCTCCCACCTGGCGCCCAGGCCGGCTGCAGGGGGGCGTCTGGGCCCATACAGCACTTATGTGGCCAGTGAAAGCTCAGGCAGGGCAGCCTGGCCTCAGGGGCCAGGCACCACCAGACCTGTAGGTGCAGCTGGGGGTACCCTGAAGAGGCATAGAGCCCTGGCCTCTCTGGGCCAAGCTCCCTAGAGCAAGGCTTTGGGTTTGGGTCCCACCCTAGGTGGTAGCATCACCCCCTGCCTTTCCATGCAACAGGAAAGAGACATCCTGACCTGCAGTGAGTCCAACCCAGTCCCACTGGTTCCCCGCAACCCTGCAGCCCACTCTGCATGGGAAGAGCCCACCAGTTCCCACCCTTTGGCAGCTGTGGCCCTGGGATCCTGGTAGCCCATCCAGCGGGCCACGCTGGCTATGCTCAGAACACGGTGCCAAATGCAGGGCAGGCTGCAGGCCAGTCCTGTTCTTCCAGAGGACAGGCCTCACCAACAGCCCATGGCACCGACAGGTCTGCCCCTGGGGGAGTGAGCAATGGCCCACCCTTCTTAGCTGTGACCTACCGGCTTCCTTCCTCCCCCAAGGCAGTACGGGGGGTGAGCCTCACGGCCAGTGGCCCTGGGCTAATTAGGGAGCAGGAGGACGCAGGCCTGACCCTGTGTATGGCTCTGCCTCAGGGGTGCCTGTGGGCAGAGGACCTTCCCCATGAGGGCCCAGACTCCTCCCCTGAGAGCTCCTGGCACCAGGGGCCCTAAGCCAAACCCTGGCTTGGAAGGACGGAGTCAGGGTGCAGGCCCCTGAGCCCCAGTGCCTCGGGTGGCCTGTACCCTCAGAAGCAGGCCCTGGGACCTTGAGCCTCCCTGCCCTGGTTCCCACCACTGGGTCTCAGGGCCTTGGTCACTGGGCCTCAAGTTTCCTTTCCAAAGTCACACTCAGCAGGAAGGAGGTACAGGTGAGGCTCCTGACTTCACTTTCTAGGGGCAGAACTGACTTTAGAGGAAGGGGCCAAATGGGGGGCAGTCACGTCCGTTCTGGCTGTGGGCAGTCCCTCTCCTGGGACCATCCCTCCCCCCCCATCCACTTCATAGCTATGTCCTCATACATGCAAGGGGAGCACCTTTGCCCCTGGGCCTACAGAGCCCAGTTGCGGTCTGTCCTGTTCCTAAGTGCCATGGGGCCCACCCGCCACACCGTCCCCAGGCCCAGGAGGTCATGCACACAGCCCCAGGCACCGTGACTCCCTCAGAGACCTGGGCTGCGCTTACCCCTGTGCCTCGGCTTCCCCAATGGCTAAACAGGGATGGTCACATTTCCCCTGCCTACCTCATGGAGCTATTCTGAGGATCCACGGAAAAGCACTTTGTCCCTCCTAGGAAGAGGATGCAGGAGCCAAAGCCATCCGTGACAGAACCGTGCAGCTGTCAGCACGTGGGGCTGGCGTGGGGGTGAGGTGTGTGGGCCCGGGGGGCAGAAGCAGCCCCCTCACAGCAAGGGGTTCTCAGCCCACCGGGTGACCAGTTGCAACTTGGGACTCGCTGGGCCAGGCCAGGTGGGGTCCCACTGCTTCCTCGCTCCTCCCACACCCGTCCCCTGGGTCACTGTCTCCTCAGGGCGGGCCGGCTAGGGTCCTGAGTCAGTGTCATGGCTGCGTCTTGGGGATGGCCACGGACAGCCTTGCTGCACTGTCCTTGCCCCCAGATGGGAAGACCAGAGTACTCTCGGGTTTGGCCATTGTCCTGGAGCAGATTCCTCGTTAGGAGACGGGGCCACTTGCTTCTGCGGGCTGCCGGAGCTCCTATGCCTGCCCCTCGCCCCTTTCCACACCTGGCCTCCGTGGGCGGAGGAGGGAGAGCGTGTCCCCCGCAGGAGCCCGCGAGAGCCCGAGCCCGAGGCTGCGCCTGGCGGCCACCGCGGGAAACCTGAACCTGTAGGCCGAGGAGGGCCGCCCTACGTCTCTGCAGACCCCGTCCAGCTCACCGTGCATTGTTTAGTTTCGAGGATGTACGTGTTGCTAGAGTTTTTTTTTTTTTTTCTTATTAAATGGAAAACAGGATTAATGTAAATAGCCTCTTTGGGGAACAGATTCTAATCTGTCACGTATGTGACCTCGTGGACTATTTTAAGGTGCTGATGCAACACTAATAAACCTGGGGGCACCCCCAGGCCTTCCTCCCTCCCTACTGTGTGATTCCTCCAGGGCCCACAGCCGGCAGAGCCCGGGGCTCCACCCCCGGCGCGCACTCCGCGGGCGGGCGAACGCCCCCGGGTAACGGATGGGGGGCACCGGTCCCGGGGGGGCGAGGGAACGTG